GGGGGGGGTAACTTACATTTTTTGACCCCCTAGGAGGGTACCCTAAAATGTAACTTACTTTTTTGAGGTCCCCTCCCGGAAGTAGCTTAAGAGGGTAGGGATGTTTTGTGGTATTACCGGGGCGGAGCCCGGGTAGGTCGTGGAACGTACGACCCGCTCCAAGTGGAAAGCACCAGTCAGGCATTTTGCAAGTATAACAGTATAACATATCTATATCTCTCCCTCTTCCATGTTGAAGTGTAAATCAAGGTATTGAAGCTGAAAGCAGTCGTCTTGGGGAATCAAAGGACTCCGCAAGTGACTGGTACGAGGCATGTTGTTGCCCAAGGCCCTGTTTTCCTTTTGGGTTTTCTACTTGGACTGTTGTCCCCACTACTGCCGGCAGTTGCTTATCCACTGCATTTGGCTTTTGTCATTGGTTCACTATCCGCGGCGTCTCCATATTTCTGCCCCGTTGGAGTCTCAAAACAAGGTATTGAAACTGAACGCCGTGGTCGCGGGAAACCATAGCACTCGTCTCAGCAAGTGACTGGTAAGAGGCATCTTCTACAAATGGATACTTGAGTACATAGTCACACAAGTCTTCCAGCCATCTTCACAAATCAATAGACTGCCTTGGGACTAGCCATGTGTACTACTCTCGGGTAGGATGATGCTAGTGATGCAATACCTCCATCACCTTGCATCTTTTGCAGCACCAAGCCACCAAAAATCATCTCCGCGGAAAGGAAAAAACACTAGCAAGCTAACATGGTTTACTTCCTTTTTCCCCGTCTTGCCCCCGACACCCCCCAATAATAAACTTTGTTCGCAGCACTAACTTCAGCCTAGCCTGCCGGCTGGCTTTCGTAACAACAAAAACCCTGGGGAAATTGGATTTCGGACATTTATGAAATGCTGTCGGCACCATTCCGTGCTTCAAAGCAGAAAGCTTATAAAATCCTGTTCGCCCACAAAAGGTCAAATTCCCGGGAAACACGAGTAGGTCTTTGTTTCCCTAGTTTAAGGCCATGATCTTCCTATTGGACTCGTTCGAGATTAGAACAGTACCAGTAGAGACCTTGTAGCAGGAAAAAATGTAAATGCATCTGCTAATGAATCTGCAATTCAAAAGGTTGACAAATTCTGCAAGTCTGCAAGAAAGATGATTTTTGCAGATACGATCGATCGGCCGACAGAAAACTAGTAGCAATGGCCTCCAACCTAAGAGCGATGGCCTCCAACCTACTAGCGATGGTGTGTTATAAAATTCTGCAGTCCAGAACCTAAACCATTCCAATCCATTGCAGCTACCAGAAGGATTTCATTATATACAAGAGATCGTTTTGTAATAATGTTTTATAAATTGCTGATGAAAATCAACTTGATGAAAGCACTGAATACTTATGACTTTCTGTTGGCCAGGTGCCTCTGCCTCAAACGAGGACAGCTAGGTTCTTTTTGTAACGTAGGTCCACCTACAGGAAAATATATACTATATACGTAGAAGTACGCCACGGGTATGTCCATGTTATATTGCATCCCTTCACATGTCCACGCGTTGAGAGGTTGGTTAGCAATCAACAATGTCAGGCGTTCTTCAGCTTTCTTTCAACATCTTGCAAGTGGTGTGTGTCCGGCACCTCCCCCGCCTGGCTAATCCGTGGAACTGCTGAGGCCACCTACCCAATCCCACGTTGACTGGCCTCATCACTCTGCTGTGGACAAGTGAGTGGGTCTGCAGACACTACAACAAGTGCAAATGAATTTCCTGCTGTTCCGCCTTCTCCCAAGAGCAGCCCTGCTCCCAGGTAAGCTGAACAAACGCTGAGGATTCAAACCTGAACAACTCCACACAGCCAAAAATTGAAAACAACCTGGGACTAGTCTGACTAGTCGAAGAAAACAGAGAGAGAGACTCCTTCTCTCAAGAACTCTCTGGTTGACCTGTACGTCTTCACCATGACCCGGCCTCCGATGGAACTTGGTGGAAGTTCCAGGTAGATATTGGCGATTTCACAATGCACCTTCAGAATAGCAAAGAGCTAAAAAAACACAGCCAAAAACCGAGCTCTGGTACTACAGTGCTACAGTGCTTACCCAAAAATAGCTACGGAATCCGTGGACGTGATGGATGAGCCAAGCTGGCTGCTGGAATCGGAAGTTCACCAAAGTCCTTTGGATGTGGAGGCCACTGCAGCTGCAACCTCGCATAGCGAAGAGAATGGCGCTGCATCATATTGAGCACATACATGTGAATCTTCTATCTAGCAAGCTTCCAAGTCGGGCCCTGACCCATATGCAGCATCCAGCAAACTCTTCTGTATTTGGCTCAATTTCGCCTGTCTCGCCAAGATTGGTTTGGAAGAGTTGGAAGAATTACTGCATGTTCAACAACCTCTCATTCCTTCCTGTCAGACGTGTTTCAATCTTTGAACTGTCTCTTCCACGGCAAAAAAAGGCTGACGAGGCTGACGCCATTGCAATTACAGTACAGTAATCATTCCCACACAAACTCGAATCCCTGACTGATCCTTCTTGGTAGCATGTTCTTTTCTCAGCCTTCTGTTGTCCATTACAAAACTGGAAACCGACTTGATTCTCAGTGGTGAAAATACATG